CGACCATTCTCCTCCTCCGGTTTAGCAGGTCTCGTTGTATCTGTAAATTTGGTTTGATTTTCAAATTATATTTCATTATGTATAAATATATGTATGTACATATGTAGCACACAAGTGGTAGGTACTTACGTGGTATGGGGTAGGCATATTTATCGGGATACTTGGAAATTAATGTATTCTTAATGTGACGGCGACCCACTCCATGCGCACCAAGCAAAACCAACGTTTTCCGTTGAAAGTTTGGATCACCGACTACACAGAAATAAACAAAAAATATAATAGTGAATTGATTAATAATTAAATTGAGCAGAAAAAAATACCTGGCACTTTTACAACCTCCTCATATGTGACCACATCCAAGTTATCAAATATAGCATTGTGTTTGGCTAAGTATTTGTCGCGACATTGCTTCTTCTTGCGTCCAAAGATCGAACAATTTACTGTGAACAAAGAGAATGTAATGAATAGCGAAGATATTATATGGATGGACATATTTATCGACATTTTCATCGAATTAAAGGAGCGTGAGTGTGTCCCAATCAAACATCCATGCTGCAAAAAAATATTTCCCATGCATTATCATGCTGTTGCCTTTGGTCGCGAGCAATTTGCAAACCACAATTTCGCATTGATACTTGCAATCAATACGCGTAGGAGAAGCAAAACACCAAAAGTGACTTTGGAAAAAATAATTTTCCAAAGTTGATATTTAGTTAAGCGGAATAGTAATAAAAAATGAATATTTACAGATGAGTTCTACTTAACATATTTTTAGTTTTCTTTTCGTTATAAATAATCTTCAGTTTAAAAATCTCAGCCGTGTATTATTATATTTCAAAATTACTGTGATGAGATTCAAATACTATAATCTACTTACATAGGTACATATTTACAAATATTTTCATTAAAAATAACCAGTTTTTGACATTCAAACTATCTACTTCTTGTTAAGAGATTTTTCACATTTTTAATTGTTTTGTAACTGTTGGACTTAAAGCGCAGTTGGCCACTTGAAAGCTCTTTTAAGCTTTCTGTACATATTATATGTATGTACACATAATAGGTACTGCTGACAGATGAAAAAAGCTCTATATGGCCAAGATTGATTTTAGGGAGTTGTGCGCGTGCAAAGAAAAAGCTCATTGATGATTTAAACTTTAAAGAAAGAGCTTTTATTCTGCGTGCGTCCATATCAGTGATGCTAAGAGAGAGCTTTTACTCCGTAAAGAGAGCTTTGAAGAGTTCCGCCCGCGGGCGCTGTTTTGAGAATCTCTGGCCGATATAAAAATTGTTGACCAGTTTCTACTTTCCGCCTGCCGTATATAAATTGCACAGAGAACTTTTAAAAGTTTGGAAAATGTGCCTATGAAGTGCGGAATAGTCATGTACAATCAGTAAAAACTCTCATTTTGGTTGTTGCGAAAAATAATGAGTTTAAAAAAGAGTTGAAAATAAAGACAACATTTACTATAATGGGAAATTTTACCTCTAGAAAAATGCAACGCAGGCCGCTAAAAAACCTATACTGGTTATCGGAAGATTACAAGTTTAAAAAATACACCACACTCTGCTACAATAAATAATATATTTTCGACTTTGTTCGATGGCCTTTTGTCATCCTTCGGCTAGTTTCATAATGCACCGTTGTGTTTATGTCTCAGGGAACACGGGAGTGCGATAATTTTTTTTTTTATATTTAACGTGTAAATTTGTAGTATCTCTGCTATGCCTATGCTTCAGGTCAAAATAAAACCAAATTTACTACAAGTGCTTATGGAGTGAGCAGTTCTTACATAAGGCATCAATTTTTTATGGCACAACTGCCCATTTTCAAGGATCATTTCGGCCCCTGTTAAGGGCCATTTCGGGGATAGTTCGGAATCATTCCCGGACCGCTGAGGGACCCATTTTCAGGATCATTTCTGGCCTAGTTCATAACTATTTGTGGCTCATTTTGCGGCTATCTCTGGACTATTTTAGGAACATTTCAGTACTAGTTCGGAATAACTTTGAGCCCAGTTCATGACTATGTCAGGATTAGTTCAGGGCTATTTTAGGAGATGCAAGACACCATTTCGAGACCGTTTCAAGACTTGTTCGAGTTAATTTCGTGCCAAGTTCACGACTTTTTTGACCATATCGGTGTCTGTACAGGTCTCTTTCGGGACTAGTACGGGATAATTTCGAGACCCGTTCAGGACTATTTCACGGCCATTTCAGGACGATTTCATGACTATTACAGAATTATTTCGGGATCATTTGTGGTAAAGTTCTGGGTCATTTCAAGACTATAAGGGATAATTTCGTTCCCATTTTAAGACTTGCTCGCGGTAATTTCAGGAAAAGTTCACGACCTTTTCAGAACCACTTCATACCTACTTCACGACAATTTTGGGCTTGTTCGGTATCATTCCATTATTGCTATTAAGTCTTGTTTTCTCTAATCATATTTTGACGATAAAATGTGTGAATATACATATACATAGAGATTTGTGTATACATATGTATAAATTCACTTTTGGTTAATATGAGATGTCCATATTCAGGAGTGTTATTAACTGTCAACTGTAAATACAATTTTTGCCATTTGATGCCTTAGTGTAAATACGGCATTAAACAAACGAAAATTTAAACAGTGAGTTACTTAACAAATGCATTTTTTATTGCAGTACACTTATTTTGCATTCGTTTTATGCAAAGATTTAAGTATGCATGTCATCAAATATTTTTGTGGAAAGGTGGAAATGATCATAAGCTAAATGTAAATCATCTGTGAAAGCGTGTTACTATAAGACTAATGGATATCTAAAATAAACTTTTACAAAATTACTAAACAATGTGATTTAGAGCTGTGCATAGGGGGAAATTTTCTATACTTTTCTTGTAAAATTAATCCGACGGCAACGGTGAAAGGTTTCTCAATTCAATTGCAACTAAATGTGTTAATTTATTATACATATGTACGTCTATATTGCTAAGTGTATGCCCAAAGCGAAATCGGGTTAAGATCCATCGAATTATGAACAATAACAGCACATGTTTATATGTATGTGTATAGTATAAGGTATGTACATATTTATATGATTTGAACTTATTAGGGAAAATTTATAAATCAATCAACACTTGGCAAATATTACATATGTATTACAAACGAGTGTGTGCGTGTGCGTGTGTGAGTGAGCAAAGAAGTGAGTGGGGAATTAAGTGGGTGGGTGGTTGTGTGTTGCGTGAGAATACAGTACTCAGCTAAAGGACAAGTGACAATTGCATGGATGGTTGTATACTTTAACTACCTGTCGATCCATCACACCCATCTGCGTGGGCAGAACAGCCAGCGGCACCTTCTCCTGTGTTTTATCATTATGGTTAATATGCGTTTTATATGTTTGTATTTGTACATTATTGATCATCATCATCATCATCACCAACATCAACATCAAATTATTATCAAAGACATGATTATCACGAATATGACATCATCATTATTATGAATTCATAATTGTAGGTATTTATGAGGATAAGAGAAGGGAGACAATCACAACATCATAACAGTATGTATTGGCAAGTTTAACTAGAAGGCATGATTTTCTATACATACATACATACATACATACATATGTTATGTACATACAGTACATATAGTACAAACACACATACATTTACATATATAACATTACAGATTAATTGGTAACGAAACATGGAAAGTAACTCAAGAAGGGTAGACCAAAAATTATGGCATTGAATTTACACTTTTAGAATTTTCAAGGATATTTAATTTCAAAATAGTGTGCATTTTAATTTTACTATCATTTAATATGTATCTAGGTACGTGCGTGTACAGTTATTCTGTTTCTTATTTTTGCTAATGCCCAGGTATATGTTACGAGGAAAGCTGATATTTTGCATTTTTGACTTTTCACATGCATATGCATAAATCATCATCAGCAATGCAGAAGGCACTATTTGTCAAATGTGGAATTTGGCAGGAGAACAAAAAATAAAAAAAATAAAAAAAAAAATAAAAAAATTTAAGTAACAGAACTGACCTGAATAAGTACGCTCGTGCCTAGTTTAGTGTTAGAATATAAAAAGGTTGACTATATGGAGTCATAAGACAAGATTAATGGGCTGAACGGCACTATACTAGACTCGACCTATCCCGTGTCCACGCCAAGAGGCCCTACTCTCAGCCTACTTGGTGAGCCGGCCAGCCAAACTAAACACAGTTAACGAGATTAGGAACCCCAAACATAGTAGCTTCAGGTTCTTTCCTTTTATATCAAAATAAATTGTGTCTATTCGTTATATGGAAGCAAATGCGACAAAAAAACTCTAAAAACGTGAATTTCTAGCCACATGAAACTTGCACTTCCTGCTACAAAAATTTTAATGTCTAGACTTGTATATAAAAAGAAACTATCATATAAACAAAAGCAATATAGCGGAAACTGGTCCACACAAGGCGTGTCTATTATTTCTGCTTCCAGTGTATATGGCCAAGACTAGAGCACACACACTACCTACCACCGGGATGGATCTCTTCTAAAATGTATAGAGCTTTTAGGGCTAGAGGGCATACTAGACCAACTGGTGGCAGTCCTAACTCTATTTATTTCTGGCATGGAGGCGTATCTGAGTGAAGCTAATGAATTTTCAAAGAGGCATTTCATTGGGGGCCTTCTGTAATAATAACAACGAAATACCAATTTTGTACAGTTCAATGCCTTATAATTTTATTCTTTTGGTTGTCAATGAATATTAAAATAATATTACTGGCATAAAATGGCGGACTTACGCATAACTAAAACTAATAATTTATTTTAAGTATAAAGGAAAAGACGCACACACAGGATAAGGAATTCAAATCGTTTAAAAGTACATTTTTCAACTACAGCACATACACTTTATTATACATTTACTACTTTATACATTTACATATACACATAAATACATATGTATAGAATACATATAATATATACTCATGTACATATGTACATACATAGGTTAAATATATTTATATATATATATATATATATATATATATATATATATATATATATAT